GAAAGAACGAAGAGCAATATTTTGCGCAAAGTTGCGACTACATCGAGACTATAACGATATATAATTGTACCTTCATATATATTTCGTACATATCTATGCTATATCGTAAATATACTATGACACCTATATGAGCTGTGTCATTGTCAGTGTGTGCAGTGCGCTTCTGATTGCTATGAATCACGTCACGCGCTGTGATATATATATATATATATATATAAATATATACATATACATATATATATATACACATATACACACACACATATCCACACACACACACACAATTTACATGATATATATATATATAATATATATAATATATAATATTATATATATATATATACACACACACACAAATGTCCGAGTTTGAACGCGTGTATATACGCGCGCCTGAAGCTTACACGTTCGTTGTACTGTGTATACTTCTCGGTGTGTGCGTATGTTGTGTGCGGGATACGTAATACGTATTCTATGTGCTTGCGCGTACACATCGCGGTAATCGCGCTCGTCGAGGCGCGATGGACTCCAAACGAAATGGAGCGGTCCTCCTCGTACGAGCCCCTCTCGCTTCCATCACTTGTCGTACAGCACCGCTGTGTCGCTACTTTTTTTTTTAATTCTTTTTATCTCTCTCTCTCTCTCTCTCTCTCTCTCTCTCTCTCTTTTTCTCTCTTTTGAGATCGATTGGCCTGCGAGCTTTTGCTTGAAACGCTTCCACAAAGCTTCCCGCCTGTTCTTTGTTTTTTACGCTTCGGTTTGCGTGTAATAGAAATGCTTGCGCACACCTACCCGCATTCCGCCTGGGATTGTTTCGTCGACAACGAGACACGCGTACTCGTCCGAATTGTTCAATTCACACCCCGATACACCGCACAAGATCTGCGCCCCATCGGAACGAACCACTGTGTGTGGGGAAATATTCAAGCGTACGAGCGGCCGAGAATGTCCCCGTTGCAATGTCAGGAGCGCGTATTTTTCATTTGTTCCACGCTTCGTAGCGATAGTCGCTTTCGCGATAGTGGATACTCTCTTATTCGCTTTTTCATCGCTACCAGCGACTGGCATACCTGCTGAGCATATCGAGTTCGCTAAACAGCGCGCGTAGCGCGATGATCGCACGTGGAAAACCGGTGGAGAAAACCGGTGAGGCGGGACTGCAACCGTTAATCGGAAGATCAGTTGGGAAATTGCAGGAAAAAGATTCCCTCGGATATTCGCGGATCCCTCGGGGATTGCTGACAGTGATCGGTTGATCATACCGGAGGATTTGTTAGCGAAGCAATTACATGCCGCGACGTAACCGCAATGCGCCTGGAGGGCCGCCAGGAGCGCGAATGACAACTTCCGGTCCATACACGGTATACCCACGGGATATTTCAAAGTCTTTCGTATCCGTCGGACTCCGTTCGCCCGTTAAATCCGCGAGATTAATCACTCATCGCGAATGAATCGTGCGTGACACACAGAGTCTTCGCTCGCACTCGACTCGCTGCAACAAAAATCGTGTCAGTGGAGTCTCAGCCGCGCGATTCTTCATTCTCGCACTTTTAATCGATCGTTCGGTAAAATGGACGGTGAAATTTCCAAGTTACGTAGCGAAACGCGGTGCAGGGGTAGATAGGGAGGGAACGGCGAGCAATGCGCGGCGCGCATTAAATTCTTCATAGCGACGCGGTGCGAATGGCAGAGAAGCCTCCGTGTTATGCGCGCCGCACACGTCGTTGAAAGGGTGGTAACGTCGCCCTGGGTCGAACTCTCCCTCTCGTCACGACGGTACCGTGACGTGTTATTGAGGTTGTAAAATTCTGGGCAGTATTTCCCGAAAGTTTTCCAAATTTTCTGGGAATTTCGCAGCCGCTGATAGTTGTAAAAATTCTGGGGAGAGTCGTAACTGCTAACGATCGTAAACTTCTTCGCGGGCATATCGCGATTCACGCGAAATAATCGTGGCTGCGAATGGACGCGCGCGCGCGTGTGTGTGTGTGTGTGAGAGAGAGCGTCGAATAACATCAAAACTGACGATTTGATTGATCGAGAAAATTCAACTTCAAGTGCAGGAGCCATTGAGTGTGGTACGAACTTAAATTGTGGGTATCTCCCACAACACTGATGCGATATCAGCGTTTAATGTCGAGTGGTCTAAGGTCGAGTGGTGAATTTTCCATCATTATTATCAACAGTACATCGTAACGTGTGCGAGAAGCAGAGGAAGAAGATTGTCCGTCCGCGCGCGTACCGAGTAGATACTCGCGTCGCGACTGATCCTTTCGTGAAAGCGAACGCGTCGAGGATGTTCGCTGAATTTCAGAGGCTCCATACCATCCATCCTACACTCTCTGTCCTCACTGAGTGCGCGGTGCATGTATCTCGTGGTAGTTTCGTAGCATGCCTGTGCACGTGGTGGTTTCTCGTCGCAAATACCTGTCTTAGACGTATGTACGTATACGTATACGTTAGTCACTATATATACATACACACACACGACCCCCTACACCTTATCTCCTTCGCGTGTACACACGAATTATACTCGCGTCGCGAAACTCCTGTCCTGAGATCGACCCCGACGTCGGCAGGAATCTCGATGCTCACGAGGCGTCCAAGTCACGCGTGCGTTCTCTCGCAAGATTTCGTATAATTGCACGCGGCCGCGCGTGCACGAGCCTAAGCATCGTAATTACAAACTATTAACTCGCCGTCGCGACCGCAACGTGCGGTGTTGCAGCAGCGCTCGTATCAATCGGGATAATTCCAACGACGAAGTGAAAACAATATTGCGGTGTTTTGTAACGCCGCAAATAATAGGTAACGCTATGAAATAACGACCGCAGCTGATGAATGGTCACTACAAACTACTCGTTGGAGATTAATGAGCGTCATTTTTAGTTGCTGGAAGATACTCCAGCAATGTCACTGTCTCAGATGGATTCTTCACATCAGAGATTACGCGTTACACAGTTCGTGGAAACCTTGTGACTGTTTTTACAATAAATCTACCTCGGGGACAAATCTGCCGCGGAATCTGCCCTCAATTGTGTTTTAGCGATGATTATAACGAGGTAATCGGTTTAAATCGACACCGAGGCGAGACAAACTTTATAAGGCTCGTAGGAATTATGGATATAATTCTCCTGGAAATTTCTCTTGCTATAATAGTGAGACGACTGCGGAACTTGAAGTTTAGATAATAAATCTGCTCGTCTATTTCACTCGAACGCGCTCGAGCTCCTCGGCTCGGTACTCAAACTTCCTCAACCGTACGAGTAAACCTTTTGGCGAAATCGGTAGGAGGGCAATTTAGAAGGTACGTGGCATTGCCGGCGAGTTTATGCCGACGCCGTAACGTATTACTTGCGCGGCGGGGGTAATGGTACGTCATGGATATATTTTGAGATCTTCAGTTCCACGCGCAAGTTATCTTTCGATAGGGGGAGAAGCACCGCTCGTTATATGCCGACATTATTTCCGTCGCGACTACTACTACGACGAAACTTAGCGAGCATTCGTTCCTTTTAGTATCATATTAAAGAGCCATTTCCACGACGGCTTCGCGTCGACGCGAAATGCTAAAGTTTCGCGAGCGTCGCGAATGATGTGAAAATATTTCTAACAATCTCGACCTGGATTTGCTTCACCGTTCGTAACACAGCAGACTTCTGCAGTGTTTGAAGTGTATAAAAAGATGGTTAGGTCGCGTATTGACACTGATACGATCGCCACGTTGTGTCACAAAACGCTCGTTAGCAAAACTCCACTTGACACTAGAACATTTCTAGGCCTCCCGTATTCAACGCGTATTGACGGCGAGAGCTTTCAAAGACTGTACCAACCGTGTTCGTCGATCACGTTTACTCAAAGTCGGTCGGTCTCGCTCGAGCTGCTCTACACGGCGCCGTCGTTCAGACTCGCTCTATCATGCCAAGGTAAACGCTCTTGCGAGTGCGAGACCCAATGATGGAGCGCCCTACAGAGCTCTCGAAGTTGCCGTCGCAACTTCGGACTTTATAGCCGCGCCGCGCCGAATTAGCCTCGCCTCGTTTCACAGCGTGGGGTCAAGTAGAACGCCGGAGGAGGTCTGGATAGAGGGTCACGTAAGCGTTAAGTGGCCGATTTCACGTGTTACGATAACCGCGACGAGCCGCCTCGATAAGCCTTCGAAGGTGCCTGTCGACGTTCGCGATCCCGAACGTGTTTCCTTTCCCGTAACTACCCGCACGCGTATCTCTTCCGACCGACCGATACACGTTACGTTCTCCCCGTTTCGAAGGACGGCCGCAACATCGCGTTTTACACACTCGAAACCACAATCGTCACCGATCGTGGACCAGCTGGTCGTTGTTCTTCCTCCGCGCAGGAAGGCGCGACCGCTTTCTCAGCCTCTCGAGATTTCGCCGCGGCTCGACACGTGAGAAGAACGAGGACTAACGTAGCATTTCAAATTAGCTCGCGTCTCTCCCGAGCACATCGCTCGGCACGAGCCGCGAATTTATTTTCGGCACTTTCAACGATACGTATATCCACGCGTCATTGATCGGAGATTAAATTTAGCCGGCGGGAAAAACTTGGCGCACCGAGATTATCGCTATTTCTACAGTGGCTTTCTCGTGAACGCAGTCCGGATTCGCCCCGGATATGCCCCGTAAAATTCTTATTTTTAAATGCTGCTAGCAACGTATTACATAAATGTAATGTTCCACATACATGTTTTTGTCGTTTTATACGTATACGCTGTTATACGGAGTCGTCTGGAACAACGACTTGTCCAGGAGACTCCATTATCGACGAAATGGCGATAATTTAACGAGTACTGCGCCGCGTGTTTGTTGCGTGTTTCAATGTTGTCGAGTCGAGCTTCGAGGTATTAAATCGAGGTAGTAAATAAAATAACGAAAAGAGACAAGATACGAAAGACAGCGAAAGGCTCACGTGAATCCTCGTGTTTCTCTAATGTCTATGTGAACACAAACGACTTCCAGTCTAATAAGTCACCTGTGTCGTACCAGGACTTCACGTTGGATTTTTACTTCCGACAATTCTGGACGGACCCGCGACTCGCGTTCAAGCAGCGAACGGGCGTCGAGACGCTCAGCGTCGGCTCCGAATTCATCAAGAATATTTGGGTACCCGACACCTTCTTCGTCAACGAGAAGCAGTCGTACTTTCACATCGCTACCACCAGCAACGAGTTCATTCGTATTCATCACTCGGGAAGCATCACGCGTAGTATACGGTAAGTAGAACGGTAGTTTACACTCACGACTCAGTTTGTACGCACTTGTACTCGTGCTGTGACACTGTGATAATCAACCTAAACGTCTGATTGCATCACCGATGAAGCGTCAGGTATTATTCTTATTCAGCCGCGTGTGTGCGCGCGCGTGTTTAGAGCGCCTTCTGTTTTTGCGAGAACAAGGACGAGAAGCCTGATTTACTCTACCGGAGGGTCGAAAGTTACAAAGAACGGAAATGCACACCTTGCGATGGACGAACCACGGACAAAGGTCAAAGGGCCTTCCCTCCCACTCATATCGAGTAATTTAAGCAGGTTTAATTCCGAATTGTTACTCCCACCGCCCGCGCCGCGCGCCGTCGGTCCGCGCTCACATGGTATTTTCCGTCGCGACTGTAAATCAAGCCCAATGTCCTCCATCACCATAGAATATTCGTGGCACTTCTGGGACCAATTGTGCTCGACGCGACAAATTTGTTCCCTGTAGCGGCTTTCACCCCTTCTTGCCTGACACAGGTCGTATCATTCCCCGTATCTATCCTCTTCTCCCCTTCTCACCCTCTCTCTCTCTCTCTCTCTCTCTCTCTCTCTCTCTCATTCTCTCTTCTCGCGAGCACCCGGGAGTGTTCTGGTATTAACGCGCCGGCTATATTCAGACGATCCATGCATACCTAACTTGCGCGCTCCCTCACAATATCGTTCCATTATATTACATCCTCGACTTCCGGAACGGAACTGCCGAATCGAGCCGTTCTCTGTCGGAAACGGTGGAAGAATATCGATGAAGCAAAGAGAGAGAGAGAGAGAGAGAGAGAGGGAGAGTGAGGAAACGCGCGCGTGTGCTCGTTTGCGTGAATAAATTCTTTCTCGCTTCTCTCGGACGCACGAGTCATCGATCACTGTCGACTGCACACACGAATCATACGAATACGGACGTCTGTACCGTTTCGTACGCGCGCGTCGGAGAAGACGCAGACACCGACGGACATGTATTAACGACACGGCATATCGGAATCGATACGAATCGGTTCTTACGCGTTAATCCCGTGACGTGACTCGAGCGCAATGAGCTCGGGCTGCGAATTAATTTTCACGGTCGTTGATTCAACGGAGTGCAAATAGATTGACTATGAATATTATACACTATATATATATGTATATAAATTTTGTGTACACCTCCTCCCCCCCCCCCCGCCGCAAGGCAGCTCGTCGAGGGGCGATCGTTAAACTGATTTTGCTCGAATGTGTTTCAGCTTAACGATTACAGCGTCGTGTCCCATGAACTTGCAGTATTTCCCGATGGACCGGCAACTGTGCCAAATCGAGATCGAGAGCTGTAAGTACGCAACACGCGCGTGTACATATATACACATATATACATACATAGGTGCATACCAGCGAACGGAATACAATTTCACAGAGTTCGACATCCTCGCCTATATTACTTTCTACTCTCGACACACTACTAACACACATACATTTAAACACACACACACACACACACACACATTCACTCACAACACACACTTGCGCATATTATTATGGAAGTCAAAGAGACTTTCCCATGCACTTGAATAATATTACTTCTCGGAATGACAATCGACTCGCCGTATCTTTTTGGCGTCAATCGTCGACGTGTGCGCGTATGGAATGACGTAATTCTAGAAAAAGAGAATCCACGCAGTGAGAAAGATTCCGGGTAGAGAAAAAGACGAGATCGATCCGCGATCGCGGGGGATAAACGCGACACCGGTCAACATAGCGTTGACACGCGATAGCCGTTAAACGCGAGAACCTGATTGGTTTAAACAAGATCCCGATATCGAGATCTTTGAGAAGCGACGGGCTTGTCGATTGTATTTTTGCGGGGTTTGAGGGGCCTCGGTGACAGCAATATCGCAGTGTCACGTTTATCGGCCGGAATCGCGATTACCACTCGATCGGCCGTATAACGGTTCTCACTGAAGCAGATTGTGAAACGCGAACGATCAATTCCAGCATGTGAGCCCGTGCATGTAATTCGAGGATAACGCCGAAAGCGATACGCAGAAAGTGTCCTTATCGATAGTCGATTGTCGTTGATTCAATGCGATTCAACTGTACATCGCTTTGAAACCTTTTTTCAGATAAACACAGAAAGACGCTTCTACCGTGTATATTTGCGTCGAGCATAAAAACTTCGTGTGTGTCCCCGCCCCCTCTATTACACGCTCATACAGAGAATACTGTCAACCCTATCGCTCTCCACATTTCCTCCCATCGTTCCTTCCACCGCCCACACAACTGACAGCCTTTGCCTCCTTCTCGCTCCCTTCTCCCCGACATCAGGTTTTACTTCCTTCTTTCTTCTCTATCTTCCCCTCTCTATCTGTCTATCTGTCTGTCTGTCTGTCTGTCCGTCACCCGCCACTTCACACGCTCACTCACACACGATCAGTCAGCCACACAAGTGAGAATCACTCTCCCATTCACCTCGTTCACTCACTCGCTCTCACTCACTCACTCACTCACTCACTCACTCGCCCACCCGCTCTCGCTCACACACTCTGGGTTGGGTTTCTCTCTTTTTTTTTTTTATTCCATACATGGTGATTGTACGTATGTGAGACAACATGGACTCGCAAAGTCGGGCATTTATTGTACAGCTCCCTCTTTGCCATTTCTCTTCCGTTTCTTTTGTTTCTTCGCGAGACAGAAACCGATGAATGAAAAAAAAAAAAAGAAAAAAGAACGACGGGGCGTTTCGCGCGGCGTCAACGTGACGTAGCACGTACGACCGACGACGAATTTCATCGCGCGCGGACGAAAATCTCTTTTCCGATCGCTCACGCGTGTCCCGGTGTCGTCGAGCTCGCGGGACACCCCGGAAAGACTCCCCCGAGTTTCCCCGAGGTCGACGATCGCGGTCCGGACAATAAACGCCCGATTCTGCGATTGAGCACAGTGTGTGCGGTCAGTGAGCACCTTCGATAAGGAGCTTCGATGCGCCGAAACGACGGCCAGTATCGATACGCGCACTCTATACGCAAACTGATCCGCCGACTGAGAGACACTCGTCTCTCGATCGATTAATCGAGTCGCCACGTTAGGCTGCTAACGTGTCACACGAGCGTAGAAATCGTAGGCTGACCGCAGATGCCGCCGCAGACGCGCCGAGTGCGCGGGCAAAAAACAAGGAAACACATGCGAAAAGACTACCACGTGTTGTGCGTATGTGTGCGTGTGCGTGTGCGTGTGCGTGCGCGTGTCGATGTGTGTGACAGCGCTAACGTTTCATTGTCGCGAGCTCGTGTTGCTTGTCGCGCCGCGTCGCTGCTGCAAATTGCACGGTGTGTTAATATACGGAGAGAGGAGGCTCTCTGCCCGTAACGTCTCTTTTCTCCCCCCGTTCCGCAGTCGTTTGTCTCCGCGTGTGTTTCACATCGCGGAGTAATTATCGTTGTCCACTGGCACGCATCGGCGTTAATAATCCGTGTGCACGAATGTGTCGCGCAAATTATGCGGATAAATCAACGCGGCGCGGCGCGGCGCTAATCGACGAAATCAGCATCTCGTAATGGTGACTACGAAATAAATTATTAGAAATGAACGAACAAACCCGCATATAATATGCAAAACCCCGAGGGGGATGATGACGGGGAGGTGACGCGCGTGGATGCAAATATCGGGACGAACGATATCGGGAGCGCGCTCGACGTGGAGCGAGCGGAGAGTATGGAGAGCAGCCGACGAGAATAATATCGCGAGAACCATTTGACGATCTTCGATCTCTCGTTGCAGGCAGAAGCGCTCGGACGTCGTCGATTTCTGCGGGATGATGGAAAAAGTTTGGCTTTAATTCTAACCCGCTAAAAGATCTATATTAAAACTCAGTCGGACGTGGAATAGGATCGAGGGGTCACCGGAAGTCCGGTGTGCGAGATATCGCGGGGAATCGACCAAGTTGGTCGATTAGTTTCGTCGAGCAGAAAGCTCGGAGACTCCCGCGCGGAGAGACGCCCTTTCGTTCCCTTAATTGGTCCGGCCGCTCGAACGCGAGTTATTACTCGTTCGTTAGGAGTTGTCGCGATACATTGCCGTTCCGCGAATTATCGGAGAATGCTGGCGGGGCGCGACTCGCTAAGCTTCCGAGACGACTCGAAAGAATTACGGCCGTCGATTAATTGTAACTTTGCTTCGACCGATGCTTTGTCGCTCTCTCTCTCTCTCTCTCTCTCTCTCTCTCTCTCTCTCTCTCTCTCTCTCTCGTAATGAAAGTCCCAGCGGTCATTAGCGCGCCAGAGCGTCGCGTCGTCGTCAATCGTGACGCGCCGAATCGCTAATTCGATAACTCGATAACACTTGCGATATCCTGCAGCTCCTGCAGCTTTTGAGCGCGAGCTCATCGTTTCCCGATATCGTCCACAGACCCCCCCCTCCCCCCGCCCCTCGTCCAAAATAACGCGTCAGCTTCCCGTCCCTGACGCGGAATCGATAAATGTAAGCGATAATGTTATTACGGTTCTTCGCGTTTCCCCACCGTTCCTACTTATAACCGTGCAGATTTGATGCGTGATTGACGTTTCTGCGGCCGCGAATTCTGCGCCCGAAACGTATCGCGACTGACGCGGCTTCTATAAAAGGTGAAGGCGAGGAGGCGGCAAATTCGCGTAGAACTCTGGAGAGTTTCTTGATTAGTTTCGCCGAGTAGAAGTGCTAGATCACGAACCTCGTTTCGCTCTTAACTTGGCCATTAAGCCTGATATTATTATCCCTCTTCGTATCGATTTTGTATTTCCGCGATAGCGAAAATGGCGCTGGCTCGCGAATGTTCGCGGCAACTGCCGGCTCTCACGATCCTTTCGACCGCGTAAAATACCGCGTAACAAAGCACATCCGTACGTACACGTACGTAAGGAAATGAAAATCGTTAGGCGCGATTTCGTGCGTGCGTCTGCGCGTAAGTCGGTATTACAAATTCATTTTACGAGGTATAACCGCGCGCGCGGTATCCGCAATCTGGACGACACTGGAACAGACGTGCAATTTGCAGGAGGAGTCTCGGATCGTAGCGAGTGAGCTCGATCGCGCGATCGTAATCCGTGCTCGCCGACACGAAACGATTGCGACTTTCACGGCTAAAAGCGACGAAGCTCGAATCGCTTTCCCCGTGAGGTAGCTTCATCTGTCTACGAGACGAATAAGATGAAGAAGAAAAGAAAAAGAAGAGCAAGAGCGTGACACGTCCGTCAAAGAGATCCAACGAGCGATCACGTTTACAGGACACGCTTAGTCGCATCCTACGCAAAGACCGTGTGCGAATATATTTACGAGCATCCTCCGAAAAGGGTCTCCACTCTACCAAGCTACCAAGCCACCGACGGCGTGAGTCGTCACACACGTCGTCGGTCTCGGCCGAACGCGCGACTTCCCGACGATCGCGCGCGGTCATTCGACAGCGAGTACCAGCGATGGCCGTGCGCGTGCACGAGCAAACTAGAAACACACACTCTACCTCTATCCTATACCCCTCCCACCACACCACCTCTCTATCAATCTCGGCCGGCTAAGCGAGAATTCCTCGCGAGTTGCACAGTAGGCGCGCAGCGAACACACGTCGCGACACACCGTCGACAATCGACGACAGGTCGCGATCGAGAACTTTTCCGCGAGTCGGCAATGCGGCGGGAATGCTGCGAGCGAAGGGTATCTGGTCCCTTCCCCTTTCCCGGCCCCGCCCCGCGGTGTACGCGCGTCTATCCTGCGGAGAGCGGAATTCCGCTCCGTCCTGAGCGGTTTGACGGTGATTTCCTCCGGAAGGAATGTACATTCAGGGGCGAGATCACGCTGAACTAGACACATCACGAAGCACACGCACATTTGTAGATACATGAACGAGAGAGCTCGACGCGAACCCCGTCGCCGTCGCCGCCGCCGCCGCCGCCGTCGCCGTCGCCGTCGCCATTGCCATCGCCATCGACGAAAATCGATCCCTAGGTCGAACCGCGCGACGAAGGTGTGCTGTTTGAACACTGTCACCACCACTTTGCCACTCGCCACTACCACTTTACCACCGCCCATCACTTTACCATCACCAAACCGAAAACCCCTAACCGCCCACCCCCCTCGAAAACCCGAACGGCCTCCGACATATAGCACTGAGCCTCGTGTCCGGGGACGTAGTAAGGGCCGACGACGGCCAGCCCCGAAGGAGGCTAAACCCAGAAACGACGTGTCGACAACGGTCCGACCGAATTAAAACGCATTGTGCATCTAGCCCAGCGCATGTAAGAACGAAACGACTGCAACTTTATTCCCGCGGCGTGCCACGCCGCGGTCACATTATATATATTATACATATATACATATGTACATACATGTATATATATTTATACATGTGTGTATATATCGGTAATGCGCCTATATATCAATCTGCTTGTAATATGATTTTTTTTATCTGCGATTTGTTTCGACATGTATATATTATATATATATATATATATGATACGTCCCCCTTTTTTCTCCCCCCCCTTGCTCTCTCGACCCCCTTCAAGCAACTCTTGTACGTATTATATGGTAGTGTGATAGACGTTCTTTACCTAACGTAGTTCTCAAGAACGCGCATGTGTCGGCATGGTCACGTCTACGTACATACACGAGCATCGGCTCCCGATCGGCTCTGCGGGGCAAAAATCGATCGATCAGAGAAGTACAAGCGGATGGACGTTGTATCGCGAGGTAACCGGATATACAAAACAATCGTACACACAGCTGTTCTTCCCATGACCATCGCGACGACAAGGTACATACATTTATTTCGGTCTGGATTTTTGCCTTCCACTCGACGACACGTCGACACATGTCCCGACAGTCTCTTCTCGTCGGCCTCGATCGCCCCGTACTTTGTGTGTACTTGGCGCGAAATCGCACACCGCGGACGTGAGCCTCACACGTTGCGTGGAAACGACAGAAAAGGAAAAAAAAAGAGGAAAAGGAAGAAAACACTGCCTGCGGATAGAGAGAGAGAGAGAGAGAGAGAGAGAGAGAGAGAGAGAGAGAGAGAGAAAAGAAAGCGCGACCTCTCCTCGTAGTGTGCGCGTGTGCGAAAGCGTGTTTCATCAATTCAATCCTGATCCGCGAGAGCCGCGATCGTATCGTACGTTTAACCAGGAATAATATTTGAATATTAACGGAGGAGGGGGGGGAGGCTATAGCCCGTATGGTAATTTGCGTCTCTCGCGCGAAACACGGAGCATGGCGCACGGAGAATGGAGCATGGAGCACGGTGCATGCGGCACAGGACATGAAATGCGCGGCATAAAGCATGCAGCACATATATGTAAATCTACCTAATCCCCTGACCCTGTACGCCACATTATATGTAGCATGCTGAGCACGAAACTTTTTCTCTCTCTCTCTCTCTCTCTCTCTCTCTCTCTCTCTCTCTCTCTCTCTCTCTCTCTCTCTCTCTCTCTCTCTCTCTCTCTCTCTCTCTCTCTCGCTCTCTCTCTCTCTCTCTCTCGCTCGCTCTCTCGCTCTCTCTATCTCTCTCTTTCTCTCTCTCTCTCTCTCTCTCTCTCTCTCTCTCTCTCTCTCTCTCTCTCTCTCTCTCTCTTTCCTTTCTTAGCTTCTCCATATATCTACTTATACACTCTCCACTTATCGTCTTAAACCTAAACTTGCTCTCACCACCATAGTCCTTGGGTATTCTGCTAATGTTGCCGCAGTTCCTCCTTCCCGCAGTATTCAGCAGCCAACGCTAACTACTCACCCGTTCCCCTGCCCCCTCCACCGAGCCCCTTCAACCTTTCGTGATGCTTAATGTTGCCCTCAGTCCAGGACCTCTTTATTAAAACTTTATAAAAGTACTAATTTATCTACGCTGCACTACTAACTATGCGACGACCATCGGCAGAAATAACGAACGAACGAGCGAACGAACGAACGAACGAACGAACGAACGAACGAACGAACGAACGAACGAACGAACGAACGAACGAACGAACGGACGAAGCCGCATAATGTTTCTGTTAACTTCGCCTCGGGGGCGCGGTCGTCATTGGCGGTGAACGTGATGCTTTTACTACGTAACTTTTGTTTAAGCGCATCCGCAAGCGTAATGAGCGCGCTGCGCTGGGGAAAATGTAATTACACGGGAGGTATCCCGTGAAAATGAAAGCGCGGAGGAAGGGCGGAGAAAAGGAGCGGGATAAAACGTAATGGTATAACCGAGATATTACAAAATGTCGGTATTATATTATGCTTTCATGATAACGACCAGAATGCAAACTCGTCCGCTTTCCGTCTTTCTTCGTTTTCCCGCGCCGGGCGACGAGCGAAGCCGGTTATTTATACCGCGGCTCACCGGCGGTGTCGAACGCGTCCGTTGCGAAGCGTAATTGTCATTACCGAAACGGTGGTTTTGCGCGACGCCGCGCGCAGCTGTGCCCGCCGTATATACGTGCGGGGTAGGGGGGGGGGGGATGATCGCGACGAATTATCGGGCGGGATAAAACGCGCGAGTGGGCATCGCACACTCCGCGGATTCCGCGCAAAAACAAAAGCAATTAATCTGGCATGCTCGGGTCCGCGTATACCGCTTAATCCGCGTTTCGCCGATGCTCGCGCAATGTGGCCGCCACCGCGACGGAATGCCACTTTGGTGCCTGGAATGCGGTGTAACGATCGTAATCACCTAAGATTCAGTTACGGAGGAATGTTTCTCTCGGTACGGTATGTACGCGCTGGAGGCCGCGCGGAGGAATTAGAGGGCGCAAATAGGCGCGTGTGCGCGCGAGTATAGTGATCGATCGGGGAAAATCCGATTTGCGGGATGCTCGTTTGCGGAAGAAACGGCGGGCGCGCGCGCTCGCTCGCTCGCTCGCTCGCCCGGAACGAGTCGTCGCTTAAAATCGCCGATACCGAGTTGCACCCGAGGGCAATCTATTCGCGTCGCGGTAGCAACAGACGTGAAACAGAGAGACACATTGGCTCGCGACGTCAATTCCCGCGCGTGGTCTCGCGCGTGGACATGCCTGCCGCGAATTCGCTCCTGAGGATATCACGGACGCATCGCCGACGGAGGGCGTCGTTTCGCAAACGAGAAGGAGGTTAGCCGTGCGGGGTGTTTTTCCCTCGTGTAGATTGAAGAATACAAAATAGAGCGAGGTCTCGACTCTTGCGGGACGCGAAATTGCCTTCTACTTTCGGCCGTAAGGTCGAATCTCCGACGTAAAAATATTCTCGCACGCGGTTGATTCTCGCTCGGGATCTCCGCGGGAGATCCCGGAGTTTCTCGCGGCCGTGCGAAAAGTTGCGGGATACTTTGTTTGGATATCTTGGTACGAAGGTGGGGAAGAATTATAACCGCCGTATACACGGGAGGGGGAGGAGGAGGGAGGGGGGGGGTGAGAATTACAACGCCTGACTCGATGACGTCTGTGATACAGCGGCACGGAGGGCATCCTAAATCGATTCCGCGCGCGAGAGAGATTTATGCTACTTCGCGGCAGAATTGGATCGTGACGCAACAATTTACGGAACGGTTTAGGTTGCTCGCGCGATAACTTTGCTTCTAATTACTGTACTCCCCGAGGAACCCGCCCTCCCGTCCCCACCGAACCGAACACTACCTCAGTGTCTAATTACTGTATGTTAGAGCGAAGATATTTGTGTTCTTGTTCTCCCGGCAGTTGGATACACAATGCGCGATATTCGGTACAAATGGAACGCCGGCCTACAGTCGGTCGGCATGTCGAACGAGGTGGAACTACCGCAGTTTCGCGTGCTCGGTCACAGGCAACGACAGACAACCATACACCTATCTACAGGTAGATATTCCCCTCTTATTCGTTCTTCCTTCTAAACTTGGTCCAGAAGCTCGCGCGAATAATGTATATGTGTGTGTATATACAATATATGTGTGAGAGAAAGGAAACGAACGAGTGCGAAGAGTCACACACACGTAGCCTGTGTTGCATTTAGTCGTCGGATCCCGATTAACGGCGCCGTCAGTCAGAGCGAGACGTGTATGGTGTGCGTGCGTGTGTGTGTGTGTGTGTGTGCGTGTGTATGTGTGTGAATATGCGCGTACACGTTTGGTAGGTGTATTCACACGCGGCGACACACCACGGCTCTCTTGTTCCAAGAGAGAGAGAGAAACATATATATATATATATATGCGTATTATATATATATATATATATACATATATATATATATATATATAATGTAACTCCTGTTTCTCCATCCGCACCGATATGCACCGATCACTGTGTTGTCTTTTCGCGAACACATTGTGAATTGTATAAGAACGAGCTTGCTCTCGGTGGGACCGCGTAGTCCCGCGGTCATTCATTTCGACCGATCGACTGATCGACTCATCGGTTTTTTAACCCACCTACACTCACGGAAGACGCAGACGGTAGCTGAGTCACGCGTATATCCATCGTCCCCCCAGACTTGGTTCCTCCTCACGGTGTCGCAGGTGGACGGTATACTATTTTTACTCTAGCTGTTCGATCATTTACGTACAAGCTCGAAACTCCGTGGAGAGAGCAGGTCGCGCAAGTTCACGTCAACTATATTTCACATATAGAGAGATCGAGAGCGATCTAATGGATCTCTCGTTGCGCGCAAACGCTCGGCTCGACCGCGGCTCTACGGCAAGACGCGAAACGCGAAACATCGAGTTTACGTAAATCGCAAATGGGTTTCAGGAATAGTATTACGTCCACCTTTGGCTCTCAACATCCACCATCTACAACATCAAAACAATAATCGACACGACGGACTCGTAAATACGGATGATACGGGCGCGCCTACCGCTTCTCGATCGCGCCCAACGATCGAGAAGATCGTCCACGATCTCTCATCACACGCCAGATATTCCGCCCACACAAGCCCCTTTTAAAGTTAGCTTAATCTGGGCTCTCGATAGCTCTCGCGCCGCGAGGGCGTTTCTCGCTGAGAAGGACAGAGAGTAAGATAAACTTGCTGTGAGAGGGACAGATAGATAGAAAGAAAGAAAGGAACGGAAAAATTGTGATAGAGAGAGAGAATGGGGAGAAAGTGAAAGAGAGCACGGACTCGTGAGGTTTGATGGGGGTGCGAGGTAAGTGGAGGCCCCCTCGGAGCTGAAATGCGTTTGAGGGCTTCCGCGAAGGTACGTACCAACCGCGGGGGGTCTCTCTATTTTTTCAGTCGGATACACGATGAGGGACATCCGGTACAAGTGGAACGAGGGCCCGAACAGCGTCGGGGTCAGCAACGAGGTCTCCCTCCCTCAGTTCAAGGTCCTCGGTCACCGGCAGCGTGCCATGGAGATTAGTCTTACCACCGGTAACGTATGAACACAACCCCACCCCCCCCCACCCCCACCCCACCACCAACAAATAATTGTTCAACCCTCGCTTTTAACGGCATGGGTAAGGTGGAGAGACACGTGAGCGCTATCCGATGTCCGCAGGCGCAATTGTCGCTCGTAACAGAACCGTCGTGATCCCGTATACTTTTTTTACGTATAGCCGTCGATCGATCGATCGATCTCTCTCTTTCTCGCGATCTCGCGCGATCTCGCGACTCTGCGATCTCGAGAATCTCGGGTCGAGCAGCGGATGCTTGCTGGCGTTGATTGGCGACCAGCCGGCTCATATACGTTCCTCCTCGCTCTTTCGCGAACGTCTTCCTCAGAGAAACTCTCTTTCTCAGAGAGAATCATCGTCCGGCCCGACCTCCCCGCTCGGCTCGACCGAAACTTTTGGGCGATTGGCGATTGTTCTTCCTATCGACGCATCATGCGGTTCTCCATACGTACCGCGCGTTCTCTGCGATATGCATTCCGCTCGCGCAAACAACCCGCCCTGACTGAAGGGTCTCAAGGGCGCTTCTCTCGACCGTCTCGGTCTCTTTCTCATTCTTCGACGTTCTTCGCATGTTCTTTCACCGCGACTCATGTCGACGGTGTCACGTCGCAGGTGTCGTCACCGAGTGACGCATGGCCAAGTGCGCACACAAGTGTTGATGTCTTCTTCCAACACGCCGCACCCTCCTCGATAATGGTGGCGCGAGAGATACAAATCACACCGCGAATTCGCAATTCGCAAGAGCGAAAAAAGAGACAGTGGAAAGTGGAAAGTGAAAATTACGAGACAACTGGATTCTCTCTGTCCCGATCGATTCCTCGTTTTTCTTCCTTCGAATCGCAATTGCATCTCGAGTCTCTCGAGACGACGAACGACGCACGAGAGATACACGCCGCCACCGCCACCGCCACCGCCTCCGCCACCACCACCGCCACCACCGTCGCCGCCGCCGCCACCGCCGCCGCCGCCGCCGCCACCGCCGCCGCCACCGCCACTGCCGCCCCGCTACCGCCGCCGCCGCCACACTTCACACGGTAACCGTGCACACCACGCACACCTACACGAAGAGAGACATACGGTACACAGAAGAGAGGCGAGTACAAAGAGTCGCGCATCGACGATGCGAATTTCACTTAACATCCCCAGTCGGCTCTGGCGCGCCATATTTCCGGCCGGCGCAAGAAATAGAGAAAGCCACTCGCGAACAATGAAACCGCTTTTCCCGGCAGAGGCCAGTGACGGAACAGGCGGGGAGAGGATTGGGGCAGAGGCAGAGGCAAGGGCAGGGGGGGAGGGGGAGGAGATCGGGCAAAAGGAGACGACGAAGGGAGGATCGAAGGGAGGAGGAGGAAGAGAGCACACGAAAGGGACGAAAGGGAGTGAAGAGAGAGAGAGAAAGAGAGAAAGAGAGAGAGAGAGAGAGAGAGAGAGAAAACACGTTGGAAGAGAAAGTGAGAAAGAGAGAGAGATAAACGAACAGTGAGGAGGAAGGACAGTGAGCACGGGAGATAAAGAGACATTAAATAGCGCCTCTCCGTCTCCCTGTCCTGACCTTCGATCTTTTAATCGCAGGGAATTACTCGCGGCTGGCCTGCGAGATCCAGTTCGTACGGTCGATGGGCTACTACCTGATCCAGATCTACATACCCTCGGGGCTGATTGTCATAATATCGTGGGTGAGCTTTTGGCTAAACCGAAACGCGACCCCCGCTCGGGTGGCCCTCGGAGTAACCACTGTGCTCACTATGACGACCCTAATGTCCTCGACGAACGCAGCGCTACCAAAGATCTCCTACGTCAAGTCCATCGACGTCTATCTGGGCACCTGCTTCGTCATGGTCTTTGCCTCGTTGCTCGGTGAGTGCGATCGTGTACTCTTCCGTGCCTCTACGTCGCTGCCATTAAGCTTTCCATCCTGCGTCCTCTCATACTCCGTATAGCTCGGAGCCGTGCCGTTCCAGTAGCGAGCTCGTAGAGTATCGTAGACGGATACTTGTGCAGGGCTCACGTGACAAATGCAAGGAACCCATTTTCCTCGAAATCGTTCTTCGTCGTCCGCGGCTACTGTTACGCCGTTACTGTCGTCGTCAAACGACTCTGTCCCTTTTTTATTACGACGAAATGTTGTCGTCGTCGTCGTCGTCGTCGTCGTCGTCACGACGATCGTTGCCATGTTTTCACGAGAGACGAAAGAGATCGCGACGCGCGTAAGAGATCGCTGAGCATGATAACGTGATCTACGCGGTTTCGTTTTTGAGTAATCAGATGCACACGGCCGAGACACACATTGTTGCGTATTCCCGACTGCGATCGCGAGTACCTCATTACGTACGACACCAAGGTACTTCGCCATCGCGGTGTCCTGCTCTTGGCAGGGTTTCCAGGGAAATGGCTTTCTTTCATCTGCACGTGAGCTCTACACAAGTACCGGGAGCGCAAGCATGACTGAGATTCTCGACGGATGGAAGTGGGGGCCCATGTACCACCGGGCTTACCGCCCGGGTCTTACAGTGGCAGTCGTGTCGTGGCATTGAATGGTTACGTGTTTTCATTCCCGTGGATTCTTCTTCTTCGCAGAATACGCTACGGTGGGCTACATGGCGAAGAGGATTCAGATGCGGAAGAATCGATTCCAAAAGATAGCGGAGAGCATGAAGGCCGCGAGCGAGAACCCAGGACCGCCGCGCGTGCCCGGCGATCATGGCGATCACGCGCCTAAACAAACTGTGAGTAACGACGGCCAGAGCGCCGTCGTCCCCGACTTTTTCTTCCACGCAGAATGTCGTTTTGTCGCCGCGTAACCAGGGAAAGAGACGTGCTCTACCGCTCCCCCTGGCCGAACTCGCACGCTTTCTTTTCAGCGCGTAAGCGCTACCAGCTCTGTCGTCACGACACACCAAAAGCGACAAAAAAAAAAAAAACAAAAAAAAAGAAAAAAAAAGAAATGCAAAGGAAAATGTTGTTCGCTGCACAGTTTGTTGATTTATGCGTAATCGCAGCATTTGTCTCGTGACTTTATCACGGCTCCCGAGAGCCGGCTTGGTACGCTTGGTAAGCGTGCCGGACGAGAGAGTACCGTTTTTATCTTGCCATACGCCGCGCCGACGACGAAGAAGGTTCTTCCACTTTGAAAGAAATTTTAAGCGATGGAGCGCCGCATCGGACAATGCGGCGATCACCGTAAATTCGATACCTTCGATAGTCGGCGGCAAATGGATATTAGAGCTACTCCGGGCTCTTCTCCCTCGTCACGAGTGCAGGCTCAACAGGACGGAGCCGGGCATTATTTTCGATCCAGCTCAACATGGCCGCTCGTACCATCGTACGCAGAGCGTAAATATGCACTTTTCCTCTCCCCAGAGAAAAAAAAAAAACAGAAAACTAGAAACGGCAGGACGATCCACGAGAGGTCAAAAGCTAAAAGGTTTCGCGAAATGAATTCCCATTCGGCCGCGCAACGCACCGGATGGCGTGCTTCGTGCCTACGGGGCGCGATGCACTATAAATTTTCTTTTAATCTTGGGTATTGTAGACCGGCAACGGGAAATATTAAAGGGCCAGAAAGGGCGGGAAGAAGGAGGAGGAGTGTAAAAAGACGTAGGTGAATGGGCGTGGGTTGAACAGGACGGACTGCGGACGCTTGTGAAGCGTCGGCAGGATAAGACGTTTCAATTAATTACGACCAGGGATTTAGTTGCACGTGATTCGACGGAGGATGCCCAACGTGACACGATACGTGACTTTCTCTCGACTAACATCTTCAATAATTACATTTGTCTCTTTCGAGTCTTTTCTTACAGCGGACAACTGCTCTCTTCGAGATGCTCCGGCAGGATATTAAAATCGAATCTCTAATACAACCTTGACGACTGTTTCATTTTTTATACGCACTCCCGACAAGAGAGTGCATCTATATATATATATATATATATATATATATATAATCGACAAAATAGGATAAGAGAATAAAGTCCTCATGAATATTTCACACTTTTTCGCGGCAGGCGAAACAGGCCGCAACTTTTTAACCTTTTTCACATTAATTAAGAGTCAAACAATCCTAAGGATAATCCTCCTGTGTCCTGTGTGTGAACTCGAAATAAATACAGGTCTCCTGACACGTGACACGGAGTGTCACGTGTGCAAGAGCTGAAGATCGCCGCAATGAGACGACTATATGATAATAATCTCCCTAGATACCCTCATCGACACCTAATAATATTAGCACCATGTACACCAGCTTCTAACCAGATTCTCACCGATCCGTTTTGCTTGGGCACGAGCAATCACACCGCCTCTCTACAGACCGTGGTCCCTTTTTACACGACACTTCTCCCCCCTCATCTTCACACTTGTCCCCATTTTTCAACGAATGAACAGCAAAGCGGAATAAGAAAGAAAGAAAGAATGAAAAAAAGACAGAAATAAGGAAAGAAAAAAGAAAAAAAGAAAAAAAGAAAAAAAGAAAAAAAGAAAGAAAAAGAACCCAATAATCGCGAACGGTGACGTGAAATGCAGGTGAGTTTCTCTCGAATGTCGACCGCGCCCTGATGTTCACGTAAATTGCAACCGGACGTCACCGCGATTGAACGATACGATACACACTGCCAGTCCTCGGTGTCGCATGCCAATCCGACAAAGTAAGGGGTAAACCTCGGAGAGGGACACCCCACGGCGAACTGCCGTGTCTCTTGTAAGTGGTCCCGTGTTGTCCAGGAGGTGCGGTTCAAGGTGCACGACCCAAAGGCACACAGCAAAGGTGGGACACTCGAGAACACCATAAACGGTCGCGCCGATGAGGAAACGTCGGGCGCGCCGCAACATCTTATACATCCTGGCAAGGACATCACCAAGCTCTACGGTATGAGTAGACCATGTACGCACATTTATAACACTATTTTTACCCCCCGCCTGGCAAGCTATCAAACAATATTCGGTTCTTAGCTTGGCAGGCTGTCTATTTCAACGAGCTTCTGAACGGGACTCGAGCGTCACTGTACGGCTTAACCGTCAGCGAGCTCGGAAGGCCCTCGGCGTGGTATCATCGCTGCTTGAGACGAGAGAGAGAGAGAGAGAGAGAGAGAAAGCTTGCGCGACATGGACCTATCTTATCGAATGCTTCGAACTTAGCCAAGACCATGCAATATTCATAGCCGATGATACCACGCACCTGCGACCGTTGTACTATATATTACATATTGTATATTCCATCTCTATCTATCTCTGCGCTTGAAACACCAAGTCCAAAATCGCTTGTCACCGATCATAGCGCGGAAAGCTTCTTGCCACACGTGAAACTTTTGTACAATTTCCTCTCAAGCATTACAATGCACCGTTTTAGTACGCTTCTGTACCCTCCCGATTTAAACGGCACCGCGCCAATTCTCGGAAGCTCACTGAAATATGCAATTATTTTCCCTCCACTATCCCGTGCGCCGCGACTATTCTAAGTCCACCCTGACGTTACCCGAACAGGCATCACGCCGTCGGACATCGACAAGTATTCCCGCATCGTGTTCCCGGTGTGCTTCGTCTGTTTCAACCTGATGTACTGGATCATTTACCTCCACATCAGCGACGTGGTCGCGGACGACCTCGTGTTGCTCGAGGAGGCCAAATAAACGACGACGACGACGACGACGACGACGACGTCGCGGCGCTCCGAATCGAGGGGGATGGAAGAAGGCGAGAGACAGTGTGCGCAAAGACGAACACTCGCAAGGAGGGACCGGGGACGGAGGCCGACTCGCGGAGAGGGACGAATTCGAGCGGAGCTTCGAGGAGAACGGATCGAGGCGTGCTACTCGGCTGACTACTTGGAGGCGAGGTGGGAGAGACGAATATAAGAGCGGACAACAACCGGGAACGAGATCGGCCGTAACGTAGCAGCTCGCGGACGTAACAAGTGCACTCGGAACGTGCGCTTAGATCTATCTCGAGAGCGCCGGTCTCCACCACTTGTCCACGACTGGAAGCGGACTAGCAGCGGACGAGCAATGGGCAGAGAGGCACACACGGGGGCTCGGAGTACTTTGCGATCACTGGAAAGTAGAAGCAGACGGACGGCCGCGGGCCGTCGCCGTCGCTGACGCCGCCGAGCCGCTCCGATGGCTGACCAAACACGCGCATGATCTACTGCGCGGCATCATGGCCACCGCAACCGGTCTCCGGGCGCGAACGAGCTCTCGCACGCCGATCGGACTCGCGCGCGACCCTCGACTATCTCCACGAGACGTTCTTCGTTAACGATCCCGGTATATGGAAAAAAAAATATATATATATATATGTATAGGCGCGTCGCGCCGTATTTACATATAGGGATGTATCACGTCGCGACGCGGGCGGAGGAGAACGGACAAGCAAGCAAGAGCTCAACACCTCGAAGGCGAACATACATACGATAAAACATTGCCAGTCTAGGTATCTCTAGGTCTTAAACGGAGAAAATACATTCGATATAAACACTTGTCAATTTAGCCACCATATTATATAGTAACGTTAACTAACGCTAAGCACGACAGCAAGCGACTCGCGCCGGCGCGAGGCGACGATTCAAGCGCGGTCGGCAAGAGAAGAGAAGGAAGGAAAATAAGATATAAAATTATCGAGACGTGCTCGTCGAGTTCGAGTTTGGATCGTCGCTCTGACGCTGTGTCGCAGCGCGGACGGAGGAAACGTAACGAAAATCGTGTGTGGCATGTGTGCGTGTGCATGCGTACGAGAAAGAGAGAGGGAGAGAGAGAGAGAGAGAGAGAGAGAGAGAGAGAGAGAGAGAGAGAGAGAGAGAGAGAGAGAGAGCAAGCGTAAATGTGTGCGTGTGAGCGAACGCACGCGCGCGTGCGCGCGCCCGCTGGAGACGACGGGCGGAAAGTTTGCAGTCCAAACGAAGACAAAAACGATGTACTCTATCGGAGACTGGTGCGAATTATTGTTTAAGTAAATATAAGTACATGTATATTAACGTACACGCGCGCACGTACGCGGCCGCGTTAGGTGCGCGTCGTGCATGCGAATATTAGACACGTGCGTGCACACGCGCGTACGCAGGGGACGCGTACAGACGATGATCGTTGATGGTCCCATGCGTAATCCAAAGATCGCGCAAGCAGCAAGCAACGGGGCGAAAAGGGGGGTGGGAGGGAGAGGGGATAAAAATTGCGACACAGGACGCCCACGACGAAAGCCGGTCGGTTTCGCGGTAGCGGCGCCTGCTCTCGGCATCCGCATTTCTTTGGATTACCGCCAAGTACACGGCAAGATTTCTTCTCGTTTCATAGGACTTTTTTACGACTTTTAACACACACGGCGCGCCTTTTGTATTTGCTGACGCACGAAGCGCGACGCGCGTCGCCGCTACGCGCGAGACCACCAGCCGTAACTCTCGTCACTCGTCCCGGGGCGTCACTCTGTACGCGCCGTGTACGTGCGTGTGCACTTGGCTCAATCGGGAGTACTCTTAGCTCGTACACTACGTAGTCGCGACTGTTTACGTAGAGAAACTCCCGGGACGTGATGACGATTATAGATCGGACGTAACAAAAAAAGCAAAAAGAAGAGGAAGGAAAAGGGAGAGAATCACAGGGGGAAACCATGCCGATCGAGTTGAAATTCGAGGCGGACCGCGAACCAAGGCGGAATGCTCGCGCTCAGCGCGCTCGTTCGATATCTATTTTCGCCTAGCAAAAAAATCCCCGCTACACAAGTTCCGTGTACAGTTAAAAGAGGCGGACACGTGCACGTATCACGATTAAGCTTACTCTTGTTTCATCGTAGCGGACAGAGAGAGAGAGAGAGAGAGAGAGAGAGAGAGAGAGAGAGAGAGAGAGAGAGAGAGAGAGAGAGAAATAAAGAGAGAGAAAGAGTTGATTAATAACCGCGCTTGTGTCGTCGCGTTACTTCAGAGTATATACGACGATATTCGGCGAAACATCTTATTCTTGTGCCGCGCAACGTTAACGGTGCCGGATCTCGCTGGATTTCATCGACTTAAGACGCAGCTTATCCCATCGACATCTCCTTCGCGGCATCGTCTACGCGAGAGACGAAAGCAGCGAGAGATACAATCGCTTTTATCTCTCGATACATAGATTGCTCTCAGCCCCCGAGCGGGGATATAACGGTCTCTTTATTTTCTTACTGCCACGTGCTGCATTTTTGCCAATTTCATTAACGCTAATTGCACGGTGTTTCACTCCCTTTTTTCGGCCGCTGCGCACTCTCCGCTCTCGTTTTCTCAAATACCGTCCGCCAATACGGACGTCGATTACTTAGCGAGACATTCCCGAAAAAGAAGAGGAAAAAGAGCATGCGGAGCCGTGCTTCTTTCTTCGTGCATTTCATATACAGATCGTTCTAACAATCAGGCGCGCTTTCCTTCGAACACAATCAATTATCCTTCGGGCGGAGATTGGATTGGACGCTTCTTTTGCTTTATTATCCGGCGAGATCGCACATCATGATGATTAAATTTGGAATTAAAATTTCATCGAGGAGAGAAGCAAATACCATATACCCGAAGAATGCGTTCTCTCGTTTACCTCGCGTGTACCTCGCGGAAAATTCAATTCGCAAAAACACACTGTCAGCCGTCAGTCATTCGCAGGTCTTCAAGGACGATAGAGCGACATTCTATCCGCTTTGACTTTTGGCGCCTGTGTTTCGGGAAAAATGCAACTTCTGGAACACTCTGTATACACACACACACCCGCGCTCTCTTTTTGCTTGGCCTTCTCTCTCTCTCTCCCCCCCCCTCTCTCTCTCTCTCTCTCTCTCTCTCTGCCCCGGACACAGCGGCTGACTGCAAGCTGGGCCGTGGAAGCTCGCCATTCAGGATATCGACCAGCTGACACGCCCAACCCACCCTCCGACTCTTTCCCACCCCTTCTACGCTGTCGCCCTTATTCTTCGCGTCTCCCCATTCTCTTCCTCCACTCTACTTCGCAATCGCCAAATAGTCCGTTTACCAGACGCTCTTGTCAGTCGCGCGCATTTAATAAGGAGCTCCTTGCCTCGGTACTACGTGAGAATTCTTTATGAAAGTAGGTAATCCTAGCCGGGGATTCTGCCTTGGATCACTATCCGCCCCAGACATCCGAGAGAAACGAAGGAGGGACTGTCGTATTCAAGCGTTACGTTCTACCAATGCGAGAACGCGGGATCATGCGATTTTTATTAGATGACGTCGGCCACCCTTTATCGACTCTCCGTCATCGGGAAAGGGGTTACATGTAACTTCGGGATATCAACGATTCAACGACGCGCGCGGCGCTTGTTTAGGGAACGTTGTACTTGAAAACGGCGACGTTCGCTTCATCGCGCTGGCAAAGCGTTCGTCAAAGTCGGGGACGGCAGAAAAAAAACACGTCAAAATCGTCATTAAATCGTTCAATCGTTCAATCGTCAAAACTGTGTAAAGCTGAAAATACCAGCTTGTCGGCTGGTCGATCGAACGGTGCACGCGCGATTAAAAAAATACATACAATCCTCTTTCTGACACTGCACGGTCTCGGAGCAGGTCTACGAAATATTTAAAAAACGCCTAAAACACTGGCAGGTCTTTTAAGCGTGTTTAAGATGCCTTTTAGACGTTTTTTATGTGTTTGTCTCGTCTGAGTCGGTTTCGACAAAACTATTTTTCAAAGCGATTCAACTCTAATAGACCGTGGACCTAGGAGATAGCCTTAAAAATTCTCAAGTAGATACACACCACGTTATAATTTTATATTTCCACGTCGTGTGTCTTAAGACCGTACGAAGCAAGAATTGAGATCGACATAATTTCTCGACGCTACGTCTACGTGAGAAATAAAAGAAAAAAAGACAAAAAAAGTGAGAGAAGAAGAATAGGACTTTATACGAATCCACCGGCGTTTCGTTGCCGATGCAGCGTAATTGCAACGGTTTCAATCGTCGCTACGACGAACGAGATTCTCGTCTCACCGCGTGGAGACGCGCTCTGGCTTTCTCCACTTCTCTTGATATCCTCGACGCGACGCGACGCCGACGCCAACGCCGACGTCGACGACGCCGACGCCGACGCGTCGGGGGCTCGCTACATCCCCGCGTGATTCACGAAACTCAGTCGCGATTGTTTCTCATCGCGAGAGCACGATCGATCGCGGTGTTCCGTTCGCGCGGCAATCCGGCGACTTACTTCGCTCTCGCGTTTTCCACACGCCGAACACTTCACGTCCGGCTTACCGCCAGTCGCGATCACGCGACAATGCAAATAAAACGGACGGCGCGAGTTGCCGAGTGCGCCTAAAGGTGCAAATCGCGTGCCCAGCCCTCGTTCGTTTCTTTCTTCGGTTGCGCTCGTACATAATATATAAGTATCGATGCACTTCCACGTCCGCCCCAACAGGAAGCGTTATATGCAATTTATATAACTGTACATCCGTTATCTATTCGGAGTCTCTATAATAGCGGGGAAGAAGGGTAGAGACAGAGGAAGAGAGAAAGAAAGAGGGAGAGAGAGAGAGAGAGAGGGAGGGAGGGAGGGAGGGAGGGAGAGAGAGAGAGAGAGAGAGGATCTAACATTTTGTCGTTGTGATATATTCTATGGTAGCTATATGCATTTATTCGCACGCATATGATGACGTACGCGTGCCTATTGTTTACGCTGAATCCTTAAGCCAGGCGGGACAAGCTGCGGGAATTGGCGCGTCCACGATCAAAGACGATGAGAGGAAGAAAAGAAAGAGAAAGAGAGAGAGAGAGAGAGAAAAAGAAAGAATAACTCTTCCCTAGATAGGCGAGTATATTATTAGTTAGGTATAAAATAAAACGAACTAATTAAATAACGTAACGATTAATTATATGAAATAACGAAGTAACTAAATATGAGACGTAATGTATAGAGAGGATCTCGCGTCCCGCGCGACGCAGCGCGACTCCGAGAATCGCGTACGAACGATATTCGCTTCCGACGCGCGCGATGTCAAGGTCAGGTTTGTTAATTGCTAAATCCAATGGCATCGATGATCTCACGCTCCGCAATGACCGATCACGCGTTAATTCCCCGAGAATCACACGCGTCGCGATAATCCTGTAAACGGATACCACCTTCTTTTCATTGCGTGCTGACCTCGAGGCTAACTCGTTATCCTATCTATAAGATAATCGTAAAGATTAGTTAAATATCGATACACTACGTTTGCTTCGAGCGTTCGAACGAGCGAATATTCCGGTGATTTGTTTCTACTCAATCAGCGACGCGTCTTCGGGAAATCGATCCGGCGCTGAGAGGTGAAATTGCGAAAAGAGCTCAAAAGGCGATCGCGCCTGTTGCGATTGTCCAATCGCTAAATACGGATCGATGCGCGCACGTTGTACAATGGGACGCGCCAATTCCTCAAAATCGACCCGATCGACCATTATTATTATAATTATTCTCATTGATATTATTATTACCTTTATTATCTTTATTATCGTTAATATTATATATGACCGTTTAAAGAGAGATTTACGACGATCTCTATCCTCTGGCAGGATGAACACTTGCGTTATAAATATACATATATATATATATAAATATATATATATCGGCGAGGGCACTTATATATCGCGTATATATAACACTACCAAATAGATGAAAAATCGTTATAAAAACAAAGAGCACCATCGACGCGCAGGCATCTCGAGATTTAATGACAAGAGTAAAAAGAGAGCAGAAACTATTAATATTATATAAATCGATCACCTTGTAAATACGAGTTTTATACAGAGCATTGTATTCGTTAAACA